CCCTAAACCCTAAACCCTCCCCTCAACCCTAAAACAGGGCTAGAGATGGCAGGGCTTGGTCTTCGACCCTTGGGTTTCAAAAGTAAGCAGAGCCTATATGGAGTCCCGAAGCTCTCAGTCCCCAAAGCTCTGGAAGGCCTGACTTCATGAAATGCCCAGCATCTTGATGGTTTAGGGTTTAGGGTTTAGGGATGTTCAAGGCTTGTTGCATAATCGATGCTACCGAGCTGGTACATGAACAGCATCTTGTGAAGGAAAATCGTAGTAGCAGCTTTCGGTACTGGGTGGCAAATATCAACACAAGCTTGACTGGCCCAACTGGCAACAACAGGGCAAGAAGATTCTGGGAAGAAGAAGCGCATGCGACCGATACCGATACACTTTAAACAATAAAACATCGTAAAACCATGTAAAACCTGAGCCCGAACCTCCTCTCCCCCCAGCCTAAACCCTAAACCCTGATGCCTACACCCCGACCTGAAACCTCCTAGTAGTAGGTAGCCATTAGATTTTTTTGGGGGAGTTATAACCCCAATGTAATCCCAAATTTTAAAGCCTAGTTTCCCTGAAATACTCGACAACTAGGATCCTAAGCACGCTGAAGCCGAGCTCCCTGTCTTTGGTACATCTCCAGGAGTTCAACAAGAAGCTGACTCACCTTCAAATACAGGGACCCGGGGCTGCACGGAGGGTTTAGGGTTTAAGGTTTAGGGGTTTAGGGGTTTACCCCAAAAGCACCTAAAAGTCCTACCTTTTTCGGGCTCCCTATGGGGTTTAGGAGTTTACCTAAAAAACACATAAAAAGGCCTACCTTTTTCGGGCTCCCTACGGTGAAAGCCCTAAACCGTAAGCCCCTTGAGAGAGGGGGGGTCGGAAGATTGAGGTCTCGGGGAAGCAGCTCTGTGACTGAAGTGCCGCAAGAATTACTATAGGGGCCTTAATGATTAGAATAGGGTTTGGGGGGTATTTCCTACTACAATTATCATAAGGAACCACCAAAACCTTATTCTAAGTAATAAGGCCCCCACATTCCATGCTGCGCATGAGGGCTTCATGTGAGGTGTTTGCTTCAACACGGGGCTGCAGAGGTAGTTTGCCTTACGCTGTAAACACTGGCCGTACCTGCCACCTCGGCCCCACACCCCACCGATTTCATTGGCCTCGTGCTCATCAAACTTGCGCTGCAAAAGCTTTTGTAGGTCCTGCTTGAGGCAAACACCTACAAGTACCAAAAAGAGCGACACAACAGAATCACAAAGAAAGGGGCACTAAGGCAAGCATTTTTGCCGTCAACCGTCCTAGACATTACAGTTAAATCCTCAATCCTTCTGGAATTCCTGAAAACTCTTACGAAGCCCTCAGAAAGCCTCTGCTATACCTCTTCACAAGAACACCCAAACCCTAAAATCCTCAAGACTAGACCATGCTAAGCCCTACACCTATTAACTTAATTCTAGAACCTAAACCCCAAACCCTGCACCATAAACCCTACCTTAAGCTACCATAACCTACTTTTTGGTAGGTTCTTATTATACACCCTAATATGGAATTTCTAGGGACCCTACAAAAAAGTAGTTTTTGGTAGCTTAAGGTACACCCCAAACACAAGAGCCCGAAACGATCTCCTAAAACCTTACATCGGCGCCCAGATAAGCGGATTGGACCCGATCTTGAGGGCCTCCGGCTGGTTCCGGGCGTCTACGTGCTGTGCTCTACCCGGGCTCTACTGGGTCTTTTGGGAGATCAGAGTTCTGTTGAGGGCTTGGAGCTTAGGCTTCGGCATGCATGAGGGCTATGTATAATCTAAACCCTAAACCCCTAATTCCTAAACCCGGCCGCCACCCCTCTCACTGTTGGGGTAGGCGGGCGCTGTCGAGCGCTCAGCGAGACCAAGCAGGCTCTGCTAGAGCAGCAGAGCCTGTGAGCACACTGCGGCAAGGTCGCCAAGCTATCAGCGCCGAGCTAGACACTACTATATATTTTATATCCCAAAACCGCAAAAATCTTGGCTTCGCACGAGGCAGGGTAGTATCCTGCCCTTCGAAGCTTTGAGCGTGCAGGGCCTAAGTTGATCTTCGGGGTTCGGGTGGTGTCCGGAGAGTCATTTTAGTTTTTGGGGTTTATGTTTCAGGTTCCTACACCCTAAATCCTACACCCCAAACCCTCAAAGTGTAGGACTGGATGCGTTGGGGGTTACCGGTCGCAGGTTTGACGGGTCTCGGTTTTAGGACTTCGGAGGTAGGTAGGGGTTCGAGTACGGGCCCGAACCCTAAACCCTAAAACCCTAAATCTTCATAGTCTAAACCCGAACCCCCTAAACATCAAACCTTAAACCCCCTAAGCCCCTAAACCCCCTAAACCTTGATAACTCAAACCCTACTGTAGCCCCCTAAACCTCAAAACCTAAATCCCCTAAACCCTCAAGCCTTCAACCCTAACTTTTTAGCAAACCCCGGTCTTCCACCCCGAAGGGTTTTGGATGCGGCTTGTTTCTGTACTCAAAGATGCCCATAGGCTCCGTTGTAGTTCCTTTTTGTGGTTTACCTTATAGGCCGCTATAAGGAAACCCCCAAAAAGGAACAATAATGGAGGTTATGGGTATTCACTAGTTGATCGAATAGTTGAACTTTTGCTGAAATCTCACGTATTTGTTTAAGGTTGTGGGTCTACTATCTTGTATGAACCGTAATTTGCCATACACACAGAGACAAAGAGCCTGAGAGAGAGAGAGAGAGAGAGAGACAGAGCGAGAGTGAGGGAGTGAGACAGAGAGAGGCAGAGAGAGAGAGATAGATAGGTAGACAGAGTGTGAGAGAGACAGAGACATAGAGAGAGAGATAGAGCGAGAGATAGAGAGAATGACAGACAGAGGAAGCATAAGAGTGGCCGAGAGAGAGAGAGACAAACAAGAACAGACAAGTAGAGTATGTTTTGGCATGTTTTTTTTGTTTTGTGGTGAAGGTGGAAGATGAGCACAACTGCGATTTTCTCATGGGCTTCCTGGCCCTTTTTGCTCACGAGCTGCCCACAGCAGGGGAGATGCAGGTGCCGGGTCAGAGCGTTTTCTCGAGTTCAGCAGACATGTGGAATGCAGTGTTCGATTGAATGTGCTGTGCGCTTGAAGCCTCGGTTGATGTGGCAGTCAATTGAGTGAAGCCATATTGTGCAGGTGGCACTTTGCATTGCCAGCCAGAAGTACGGCTTGAATCCCGGCTTGAAGGGATTTGCCCAACACTGCGAAGCTCTGCTGCATTGTTCCATATAGGTTCAGCCCTTTCCATCATAAAAACGTGCTGTTTGCAGCATATCGAGATCATGCTGCCACCAAGAAGTGCTGCCATGAGTCATTGTGTTTGCCAGGTCAAGTTTCCTGCTTGGTTCCTTCAGGGTTTGTGTCTGGTTTATGGGGTTCAGCTTGCCATTCTGACCAGGAGTGGGCTCGTGTCGAGAGTGGCTTGCAGAGGGCCTTGGCTTCGTATGTGCTGATGAGATTTAACTGCACGGGCAAAGCCAGGCAGCACTGGGCTTGAAGCAGTGTGCTCATTGATCGAATTTGTGCTATGTGCTCGTAACATGGTGTGATGTCATGCCGTAGAAGCATCAGGGAAGCTTCACAGTTGCAGGTGACTTTTTGCCGGCATGTGTCCAGGGGAGACAGTGCAGGAGTGTCCTTATTGATATTTGCATCCTTCTGATCATATCATAAATCTTGTCCAGGGCAACTTCCAGAAGAATGGAGATGCTGAAGCAGCTGATTTCTACGCAGCTGGAGGCTTGCTTGGGCGATGATTTGTAACAAGCATCAGCCAACGCATGAAATCATAGATAGTTCGACGAAGGTTGTGTGCATCAGGGGTTGTCGACAAGGTTGCAGGTTTGCATTTGTATGCACGTGTACAAGATGTAGATACATATACACACAGACAGACACATGTGCTTGTCTGTGCGCTGATCGATGTATGTATGCATGCAGGTCTCTATAATTGCAGTATGGTTGTGTGCACGTGTGTGTGTGTGTGCGTTTAACAAAAGTATGTAGGAGGTTTATGGTGTATCTTGGGATGTGTGTATGCATATGTATGAATGTCTGAAATTTCTGTATGCATGAATATATAAATAAAGACTTGTAGTTGTACACATGTCATTGCATACCCAATTGGAAATGGAAGAATGCAGACCCAAACACAATCATGGGCCATTCCATCAAACAAAATGTGAACCAAACATGACATGTCCTGATACCTTTTGCAGGAAAACAACATGCTGACAATGGGTGGCAAGAAAACGAAGAAGTCGACGAGACTTGGGGAGAAGAACAAGGTGGGAGCAGGATGCCTAGGTATGGGTACGCATTCTCACCCAGTCGGCTCGGTCCATCTTTGGCACTTGCTCCTACGTTGTCAGAGTTCTCAAGTTCCCATATAAGTGTTGCTAAGTCTTGTGTGTTGCAAGAATGCCCCTCTGTCTCAAGAATGCTTCTCGGTATGTTTGTGCAGGTCCCACCCGATGAGGAAGAGACGCAAGTGCCCGCGGATCCGCGGAGCCCCAGCACCCCGGGATCATCAGTGAAGCCTGACTTCGGATTTCACTCTTTGGAGTCCCCGCAATCCTGCATGCACGGGGAAGGGGAGGAAGGGAATGAGGAAGAGAACTTGACTGATGATGAGTGTGTGGATCCTGCTCCTGATGGTTGCGAGCCCGAGGGCTTGGCCGAGTGCCTCCAGGAGTTCGAGGAGTCTGAGGTCAAGGACCAGGAGCAAGAGGTCGAGGATGAGCAGCAAGAGGCCGAGGATGAGGAGCAAGATGATTCGGGAAGTGCAGGTGAAATGCTCGGAGATGATAAAAGAAGAAGCAAAGCTGAGCAAGAGAGCAGTGGTACATTGAAGGTGGATTTTGCATTGGGTTTGATAGCATTTGCTAGGTAGGCAAATGGCTTCACAGGATGGCTCTGCCGTGCCTTCAGCAGTACTGTTTTGTTCGCACCAGTTTGCTGCAATGCTGGTGCTCACTTGAGGAAGAACAGATGTATCCTGGAATCATGATTGCAAGCTCTATATATAGGTTCTAGATCAAATCTGTAGAATGGTGGGAGTCGATGTGCCATGTCTTCAAGTATTTGCTTGGCCAGGACCGCAAGCCATTGACGGACATGCCAGAAGTGTCTGAGACACTGGAGGCGCAGGCTGCAGATTCTTTACGGCGTTTGAAGGCCTTGGAGCCGGAGGAGGTTGACTTGCTGGAAGTACTTTGCTTCAAATAAAACTTCACTTGTGACATGTCCTCAGTTTGGATTCTGATGGAGCCTATGCTGAATGCGGAACTGTTTCATTGTCGAGGTTGTGTTGGTTGAGTCGCGGATGTGCCCTTGAAGTCTGTATGTAACAGCAGACTGAACATGTCTGAACATCTACCCAGGCTCAGAAACAAATTTCGGCAGCGGCCGCTGCCCGTGCAGAAAAACAGGCAGAGGATGAGGATGGGCAGGAAGGAGGCAAGGACAAGGCAGGTCAAGGCAAGAAGAAGTTGAAAAGAAAGAAAACAAGGCGAAGCTTGGCTAAGGCATTCAAGGAAGTGAAAGAGCCAAACGAGGCCGAGGGAATCAAGCAGTGTGAAAAAGCGGAGAAGGATGAGGAAAAGGAGGCTGGATCAAAGGAAGGCCCTGGCAAGTCTAAGAGGGCTGCCGAAGATGAACCAAAGGACAAACCCCTGCCGAAAAAAAAGAAGAAAGGCGAGCCCCCAGCAGCTGCCCCAGCTGCTGTTGCCAGCCAGCCCAGTGAGGCGCCAAAGGAGACGCAGGACTGAGGGTGTCAGACCAATCTTGTAGTGGTGCCTTCTTCCTGCAGACTTAACATGTATCATGTAGTGGTGATGCTGCCTGCCATGTGTGCGTTTGTGCTTTGAGGGGATCTGTAGCTCCTTTATAAATACTTTAGGACTTTTCGGACTGATTTTGTCTTCAAGGTTTTGCAAACGTCCATTTGCAATGACACTCTGTTGTCCAGTTGAGGGTTAAAGTTCACCAATGTGCATTGATTTGCATGGGCACTGGCTCCAGCAGGATCCGGCTACCTTGCTGCTTCAAAAGCTGGCCGACATGGATCCGGAGTTCAAGTTCCAGGCAAATGCCAAGCCCCTTTGTCAACAATATGTCAGATCAGTGTGCTACTCACACAATGCTTGGAGTTTATTCCATTTGGTCTTTTGGCGGGGTTTGAGGAGTTTCACGCTCTACCCCTCCGATGAGACAAAGAGGAAGCTCGAGGCGCAGGACAAATCCTGGATCAGCATCTGTTGCCGGCTGGGGACCAAGTTTTGTATGCTGGTACCCAAGCATGATGCAGGAGGCAGTGTGTTGCTAAAGACTGGTTTTTGTGTGTGTGTGTGAGTGTGTATATGTAAACGTGCATATCTAGAGATGTATAGACACACACACACACATACATACATCTACCTGTGCATGCAGACATGTATGTATGTATATACAGACACATGTCTAGATCTAGTATACACACACTCATACATCTATGCATATGTGCACACACACACACACGCCGTAAGCAATTCACAGATCCATGCATCCATCCATGCATACATACATGCATACATACATATGTACAGTGTACATAGGGGCATGCATACATACACACATGTACATGCATGCATGCATTCGTGCAGACAACCATATGGAACAACGGATGCCTCGCCCAGGTTGCCCGAACAGTCGTTCTATGTCAATCCGGGGAGCACAGTAGCGAAAGAGATGATGGGGCGCGTCAACAGCAAGCTACTGACCTCCTACAAGGCGAAACATCTGCTCAAGTATCATGCAAGAGTGCTGCTGATTTTTTTTGCATGTGCTCCTGGATCGTGTTTGGCCAGCTAACCCTCCCTGTCTCTTGTGTTGTATACCTTCCCCTGTGCCTTCAGCCGATTGCATTGGAAGTGAGCAATACACAAATCTTGGGTTTGCTTTGTCTTGCATCCGTCGAGCAGTGCCGAAAGTTTGGAGAAATGTGCCCACCCTGCATTTCGGGGAATTTCGTCCTGTGTGACAGGACAATGCCAAGGGTGGTGTCAACGTTGCCTGGAGATTGTCTGGTGGAGTGGTGAATGCGCTGGTGCCTCAGTGCAGGTGCTGCAGTGCTGCCTGCGTGCTCACATGCAAGTAGTAAGTAGCACTACCGCTGGTAACACAGATATGCAGCATGCTGCTTGCATGATACCATCTCTCTCTCTCACTCTAACTCTCTCTCTCTCTCGCATTCTTTCTCTCTCTCTCTCTCTCTCTCTCTCTCATTCTCTCATTCTC